GCATAAGCATCGTAAATCCAGTCACACATGTTTTTATAATCCCAAAAAACATGAGACTTTGCTTTGAGTTCTCAGTTCACAGTAACAAATCGTGATCGATGTTTTAATTACTTGAACCAGTTTTTGGAAATCCATAAAAGAGCTAACCTATATATAAATATCTTCATATAAAATATAAACAAATATATATATATATATACTTATAATCATTGAGATCTTTATAGTCCACATTAATATTAATTTTCAAATCATAATAACCAAAATCAACATAACTTTAAACAAATAATGGAATTGATCAATTTAGTTATACTAATATAATTATATTTTAATACATCCTATAGTATTAAAAAGTGGTGATTAAGATATATATATATATATATATTTTTTTTGAAACTTGATATATATATTATAAATTTTCATATTAAATACAATAATCTAGAGATTTATTCATTTTAAAAATAGTATTAGCATAGTCTACTTTAGATACAGTAAATATACCAATTTTAAAATTTAATATATTAAAACTTCCGCGCGAAGCGCGGACAAACCCCTAGTAATAAAATAAATAAAAGAGATTCTTAAACATTTTTCTTGTTGTGTGTGGTTGATTCGTACATCAAACTGAAAAATCACGAGAAAATATAAATTCAATCTAATTAACGGGTTTAAAACTCGATTTATTCTTGGATTCACCCTCTAGGGTGAACCTCTACGTTCACCAACAAATAAGGTTGTGTTATTTAATATTCAATATTTTTTTTTTGAAAAACAAAATATTGTCAAGTTATATTATATTTTAAAAATAAAAAATAATTACCAAATAAAATTTTGTTTCTAAATATTTTAACACCATCAGCAGATCACTAAACCCTAAATCTTTAACTTTAAACTTTTGGGTCAACCCTAAATCAAAAACACTAAACACTAAATTATAAAAACACTTAACCTTTAATTCTAACCCCTCAACTCTTAGATAATTGTAAAACATAAACCCTTGAATAATTCTTAAAAACTAAATAAAAACACTAAACACTAAATCTTAAAAACACTAAACCCTAAACTCTTAGATAAATTGTAAACCCTAGGGGTTACGATTTAGGGTTTAATGTTTTGCTAACAGTGTTAAAAATAAAAATAAAATAAAATAAAAACTTGTTCTGAAATTATTACTATTTTTCCTTTTTTAATTTTATTTCATTATTTAAAAGATATTAAATGTGAAATGAAACATTTTATTCCTCAACTATTTTTTTTCCTTTTTATTTTATTTTAAATCATTGTTTCAATTTCTTGCCAAAGGCACTGTGGAAAGATTTCTACCATTTCCATACGGTATGGGGCACGGTTGCTACCACAATGATTGGTACGAGGTCGAGTTTAAGAATTTCGTCCCGTTTCTGCCCAAGATCGGCAAGGAAGTGGTCGAAATAGATTTTCCGAGACCACTAAAGCAATAAGATGACTTAGTTGAGTACGTTCCTTCGGGGTCACCCCGCATCAAAACTAGGGTAAGTTCTTTGGGGTGTAATGGCGACAGCAGCAGCGGAGAAATGACCGAAGAGCTTGTGAATTTTACTGAAACTCCTTTTCTCATCAGCGCTAATAACAAACTCGTTGCTTTTCGGTGCAATAACAAGGTCACATTGACGCATATCGAACCACGAATTGTCG